TTCAAATGTGAATTAAAAAAATATTGTAAGCTTGAGCTCTCTACAAGAATCTGAACTACTAACAGTCAAGGGAAAGTAGCGGGAGATAAGCATAAGAAGGAATTCAAGGTGGGCTGGGCTTTGATCTCTTGTGGAAGTGCAGGGACTCATGACTGATGGTCTGCTTGACTCCTCCCTCCCTCGGGCTCAGCCTGGTTGTCTCCTACAATAGTTTCATGTTAAAGTCATCCGTCCAATAGGTTGAACTTTTTTTTAAAAAAAAAAAGCAAACTGCCTTTGGAAGGAAATCAGATCCTGTCTGGAGGCCCCACCAGTTCTTCAGAAGGTAGCCCAGACAGAGAACAGGACTTCCCTTGAGTGGTTGTTCAGTGCCACAATTCTGCAAGGTGAAAAGAATGCTGCTCTTAGCTTCACACAATCAAAATATGCCCTGTTACAGGGACAGAAGTGCAGGGCACGCTCCCCACCAACCCTGTGTTTCTTTGCGCGTGCAACAGGGCTTGACTTAATAACCCCACAGTCCCCACACGTTGCCTGGGGTGTGTGTGCAAGTGGCCCGATTGCCACCACTTATTTCTTCCTTCTCTCCGCAGTCACTTCCTCCCTGTCCTCGCTCTCCTCTCCGTCCTTCACCTCTTCGAGTTCAGCCAAGGATATGAATTCCCCCAGCCTGCAAGTCCAGCCCGCCGCCGGCAACGCCGTCTTTGAAGGGTCAAGTCATGCCGAGCCTCAGAACGGACCCAACGGGCTGGAGGCCGAGCTGGAGCATCTGAGGCAGGCGTTGGATGGCGGCCTGGACACGAAAGAAGCCAAAGAGAAATTCCTCCACGAGGTGGTGAAGATGAGGGTCAAGCAGGAGGAGAAACTCAACGCCGCCTTGCAGGCCAAGCGCAGTCTCCACCAGGTAATGGGGTGCTACCCCGTTGGCCGAGGACATTTAAGGGACCCCGTGGCACTAGATTTGAGTAGAGTCTCTGGGGGGGGGGGGTTGGTCACTCCGATTGAACTCTTCTGTGCTTCTAATGGCCCACCTGGGATCTTCGAAGCTCAGATTGGGTGGTGTTGCGTTACAGGTTGTCCTTGACTTACAACAGTTCGTTTAGTGACTGTTCGAAGTTAATGGGTCACTGAAAAGGGACTTAATGACCCTTTCCCACACTTATGACCATGGCAGCGTCCCCACGGTCACGTGATTTACATTCGGAGGCTTGACAGCTGGTTCATATTTATGACGGTTGCAGCGTCATAATGCGTGATCCCATTTTGTGACCGACCTTCGGACAAACAAAGTCAGGGGGAGAAGCCGGATGAGACTAAGGAACATCCCCCCACCCTCCTCCTCTTCCTCCTCCCGTGGGGCCCTTCCGATGTTAACACGCCCTTCTTGTCCCAGGAGCTGGAGTTCCTCCGCGTGGCCAAGAAGGAGAAGTTGAGGGAGGCGACGGAAGCCAAGCGCAACCTGAGGAAGGAGATTGAACGCCTCCGGGCAGAGAATGAGAAGAAGATGAAAGAGGCCAACGAGTCCCGGATACGGCTCAAGCGGGAATTGGAGCAGGCCCGACAGGTCCGAGTATGCGACAAGGGCTGCGAGGCCGGCCGTCTACGAGCCAAATACTCAGCCCAGGTGAGTGTGGAAGCAACGATGCTCTTTTTCCCCATCCCGGAGCTTGGCTTGCGACGCTCTGCCCTCCCCACCAAAATTTTTAAAATCAAGGATGCCTCCGAGGTTAGCGGCCCTGCTTTCCGGACCTTTCGAAGTAACCCTTCGCGAGGAGGCTTGGTGGAAACACTCCAGGTAGCTCTGAGCATCTCGTGCTCAAATTTCTCCTCCTCCCCATGAGTCAGAGAACTTTTCAATTTGGGGTTCAGATTCCTGTTCTTGGGTTTGAGTCAGACGGTGAATCATCCTTGCAGGATATTTTGTTCATCACCAGGATGTCTTTCCTAGCCTCACCTGGTTAACAGAAAAGGCTGCTGGTGAAAACATCCCTTTGAGAGGCCTCTGTAACCGTCTGTGGGGAATGGCCTCGGGAGACGGAGCCAAGGGAATGGACAGATAAAGAGAGAGCAGAGCCCAGAGAAGTTATAATGGGCTCAGAATGGACCCTTATCTAGATTTTGGGGGCTGTACAAGGGAAGGAAGGGGAAAAAACTGCTCCAGATTCTCTTAACATAGCTTTATACAATGAAGTAGAATGAGTCTAGCTGGTCGTGTTTCCTGCCTGGTCTACCTGCTCGGGCTGACACCTGCCAGCTTTAGGAGAGCCGAGGCAGAAAGCGATGCAAACGTGGCTCAGAAGCCTGGCATTTCCGCCACGAAGCGTTAGATGCTGGGTGTGCCAGGTGTTGCTTCCCTCTTGCACAGCTGGGATGTGGCAGGCAAGAGCCCCAAATTGCATTGTCTGGCTTTTTCCTGCTGATGCTCAGCTGCCTGTTCAGGGATTTTGCAGGTGGCTCTGTCCGTTTTCAGTGTTCTCATGGTTGCAGGGGAGGAAGGAGGGGCTCTGCGTGCGAGATGCACAAATAATGTGCTCAGTCTTCCCGCCTTAACGCCCAACTGCTGTACCAACAGAAGGGGAGAGAGAGAGAGAGATGAGAGAGAGATAGATAGATAGATGAGAGTGAGAGAGAGAGAGATGATAGATAAGAGACAGACAGACAGACAGGCGCAGAGGCAGAGAGAGAAAGAGGGAGTAGGGAGGGAGGGAGAGGGGTCGTATCTCCTTCCCCGGTTGCTAACTTAACCAAACCTGCCTTAAGAAAAAGCAACCGAGAAGGGCAAGGGTCCAAAAAGATAGGAGAGAGAGAGAGGGAGGCGCTCACCCACCTGCATATGCACCCCCCCCATTGCTCTAAGCAGTTCGGGGCCCCCCGCTAACCCTAATGCTCTGTTCGTCTCGTCCCACAAGATCGAAGATCTGCAAGTGAAGCTCCAGCACGCAGAGGCGGACCGAGAACAGCTGCGCGCTGACCTCTTGCACGAGCGTGAAGCGCGCGAGAACTTGGAAAAAGCCGTCAAGGAACTGCAAGAGCAACTCTGGTCAAAGCATAACGATCTGCCCAACAGCGCGCACACCCCGAAAGATCCCGAGAACTGAGACAGACACACACACACACACACACACACACACACACACACACGGTCCAAGACGGGTGGAATCCGTGCTCTCCTGCCTGTGGCCCGTGGGCCGATCCGTGCATAGTAAGCAAGACTGCGTGGAAGAGGCGTTTCCCCACCCCCTGCTGCATGTGGCTAAACACCATGGATCTGTGGTTCTTAAATCGGAGGGCAAAAACGTTGTTACTCTTTATAACAAAAGCACTGAATTCTGCCTCTCTTTTTTTTAAAAAAAAAAATCCGTATAGCACAACATTTTCCTGTGCCTATAACGTGAGAAGTGTTTATAAATCTACTCTTTTGAGTCTGCAGCAAAAAAAAACCACACACACACACACAGACACAAAAAAGGGGGAAAAATTAAAATGTATTTTTTTTCTTTTTTACTGGGGAAAAAAAACCAAACTGTTTGTGGAAATAAGGGACAAGCTTTGAGGGCTGCTACAAATATAAAAAAATAAATATACGTATGTGTGTGTCTGTGTACTCACACACCCACACACATATACGTAAACACACAAACCCCAACAAGCCCCTTTTGTCGTAAGCTATTTCAAAATACAAACCATTTAAAGTCGACGACGTACTAAAACCATTGACAAGATTTTTTTAAAAATAAAGAAAGAAAAGAAAAATAAAATATATTATATATGAATGCTGGGGCCAAGGGTGGGATACTTTTGATGCCTAATATGTAAATTGGTACAGGTGTTGGAAAAGTGTTTCAGGAAAAAAGAAATAGCCATGATTGATTTCAAATCAAGGGATTTTTTTCGGCGGGGGGGAGGGAGAATTTCCAATTTTGGATTTTTTCCTGCCCAGATTTCAGCCTCTTGTTTTTTTTCCTATGTTTGGATCATTGAAAAAAAAGAGAGAGAGAGAGAGAAAACTTTAGTAGGGGAGGATGTTTGACTGTTTAGGAATAGATCTCTGTCCTAAATAAACCCGGCCTTACAAAATTCAGTGTTTGTTCCTCGCAAAGACTCGCTTTGACTCCAAAGCACTTCTGACTTCAGCAAGCAAATCTACCCGTCATGTCGAAAAAACAAAAACAAAAAACCAACGAGAGGAAAAAGAAGAAGTTTGAAGCTGAAAAGGAACAGCTGGATGATAGACACCCCCCCCCCCCCTGTTGCTTGTGCGCAACGCGGGGGACGGGGACCGGGGGGGGGGCCCCGGGGGCCCCGTGGGGTTTTTGGGGGGGTTTGGGGGGGGGGAACCCCCCCCCCCCGGCGCCTTCCATTTTGCTCAGCGAATTCATTCCACTTTTTTTTTTTTTTTGGATCCACGACGCCTCTGAAATTTTGCAGTGTTTGACGGACTCCTCTTCCGGGACTCTTTTTTTTTTGCCGCCGCAGCCTGGAGAGCGATGGGTGCCCTCCGAACGAATGAGACGACTTGCGCCTTTGTATTGAGAGAGACAAAAAGACTTTTGCTGCTGTGAATAAGCCGACTTTTGTTTATTCTTTCGGGATATTTTTTTTTGGTTTTGTTTTGTTGTTGGTCACGGGGTGGTTTTGTTTGTTTGTTTGTTTCTCATCTGACAAATGCTTTAATCTTGGGATTGGAAGGTGCCAGCAGTTCCCGCCTCCAAGCCGTGGGTAGACAGAAGTTGCTCGGGGGGAGGCCTTGAGCAGAGTCCCCATCTTAAGACACACACATGCACACACCCCCAGAAAAAAAACCACGCTTTTTTGGGGGGGAGAGGGGGGAATGGAGAAGTCCCTCCGTCCCATTTGCTCCTTTCCTACCATCTTCTAAAAAAACCAGCATGGCTGGCTGGGGGATTCTGGGAGTGGAAGTCTTAAAAGAAGTCAGCCCGGCTTGGGAGACGCTGCTACAAAGCGCCAGCTGGGAGTGTGCAATGCCTTTGTCAGCCACTGGGGGTGCAAGGAACATGGGTAACTTGCCCTCCCCGCGGATCGGAGTCCACCTTGGCCTTGCAGATATTACAGAATTTGTCACGGGTTAGAAACCCCCCAAGTGATGGGTTTGGAGTTGCGATGAAAGATCGGTAGCTCTAATGGCGGAGAGGCAGATGCGAGGCCTGTCAGAAGCCAAGCCACTGACCATAGTTTGCTCTTAAGCCAGAATCCTTTGCTGCCCTATGTTATTATTATTATTTTTTTTGCTAGGCTCAATTCAGAGGAGCGACAGCTGTTCTGTAAGGACCAGGATGAAGGAACTGCATTCACACATCTCACAAAGCCTAAAGCAAGAATAAGCTATGCAAAAGCGAGCGACGTATTCTTGGCTTGTTCAATTGGCTTCCACCCTTCCATGGTGGCTTATTTGGGCCTGGTTTGATTGCAGACAACACAGGCAGGGCAGAGAAACACACCAGGATGAAGCCAGGAAAGCCAAAACATGAGTTTGCACCCCCCTCCCCCCCTTTTTGCACATTTGCATAAAAGCCATATCTGCAGCTGAGAAGCTGACAACAAACTGGGTTTCAAACTGAAGTTTATTGGCCTAAACCAAACCTTGGGTTGTTTTTTTTTTTTCCTCCCCCTCACCGCTTGGATATTTTTGATGATGCCAAAACCAAATCAAAGCAAACCACATTTAAAAGTCCAAATTCTTCCTTCCCATTTCACTGTTCTTAAAACACAGAAGGGGAACGCGTTTTTCCTCCCTCTGGTATTCACACTGCGGCAGCCTGTCCTAAAATTAAAGTATTAATTTGCAGTACACTAAAGGAAAAAAAAATGTATTTTTTTTTTAAAAGCTGTTATTATCCATTCTAATAGCCATTGTAAGCATGAATGTTTTGAAAAGGAGGAAAGTACATTTAGGGGAGTGGTTAAGGAACCCTATAAATACAAAGGAAGATTTATTTGAAAAGAAGGAAATCAGGTTACTTAGACAAAATAAAA